TCAAGGGCATTCAGCACTGAGTATGAATTTTCACTTAAAAATGCATGTAAATTATGAAAATTCCATCCTCCTGCCGCTAAATTATTGGGACTTTATATGAACTTCCGGAGAGATTTCAAATTGTTTTGACGTTTTCCCCTTGAATAAAATTCAAGGTCTTTTTCCAAAAAATGCAGCCAAATTTTTTCAACATTTTTTTGAAAACACTCAATGACTTGAGCCGTAAGGGTAGAGCTGCTTCAACGTTCCCACCCGACGAGAAGACTGACTTCAACATTCTGGTTTTATTACAACGGCCGTAGGACATTTCAGTCAGTGGCAAAAAAAAGAAGAAGAAGATTCTGGTTTTATCGAAAGAGACGCCGAGGCGTCAGTGAAATCCCTCATATCTCCCAATAGCGGTTCTTCGATATAAAATATATTCAATGTACTCCTCTGTTCTGTATGTAAAGTGAGGCTTTCAGGCCTCAGCATGAAGCACGAAAGAAATTATGCGCATACCGGCAAATGGCCAAAGGAGAAGGCCTCTTATACTTTTGCCCCAAAGCGAAGTTTTCACAGGCGCAACACACGCGCTCGGGGTTCTTCTTCTCTCTGAATCTTCCGAAAGGAAGCACCGCTACATGCTGAATGTGCCCAGAGAGATGGTAAATGTGTACAAATACACATGTAACGAATGACCCAGTTATAAATAGGCGAGTGGCCCGGTTATTCGGGCTCCCATCGGAGGGAGAATGTTGAAGAGGTCCTCAGGACTGACGTTGCTTATTTTATTTATTTTTCTTTCAATTCTTCACCTCGTCCCTCTGCAACACCTGGGGCATGTTAAACCACCTCTGCCATCCTCAAACTAACACTAATTACATCCAGTTGACGGTAATTAGGTTTATTGTTACTTGTGTGCGAACGCATGAGGCATTTGGGATGAGAGAAATAAACCGTTCCGTGTCAGCGGAGACATCTGAGACGACACTGTTGACTTTCCATTGTTCGTCCTGAATGACCTGTTAGAAATGACTTGGCATGAAAGTTATTCCGAAGCATTTGGGATTAAAATAACCAACGTCATTCTGTTGATTTAGATTTATCTGTTCTTGTTGCTGGGTTTGTCGATAGTGGGAGCAGTTGATGGAACTTTTTCGGGAAGATCAAAATATTGGGGAGATTGTTGATAGCAGTCAAAAGTCAAAAATATCCAACTTTCGGTCATCGATCAATCTCTTGATCTTTTGAATCCTACAAGAGTTCACAATCACGGGATGACTTTGATTTTGTGGTACTTCGAGTGTCATCGATAGGTTTGTATTAATGAAATTACAGATTCGGTCATCTTGCACCGTCAGAGGATTCATAAATAATGGGACAGAGAGAAATCTGTTAAAAATGAATGCTGCACTGGAGAGAGGTTCTAGTTTTTAGTTGAAATTTCTAGATGTCAGAACTCAGAACCCTGGACTATCCATTTTTCTGTTGATTTTTCTTGTAAACTAATATCGAGAATGATCCTGGTTACCCTTCTACACTGACAGAATGATTCATTTATTCCAAACGAGATTCGTTAACTATTAACGAATGGTAGAGTTGAATATGACCAAATGAATATTCGTTAATAGTTAACGAATGGTTCACTTGAATGGCGAAAGTCAAGTCAAACAAGGCTTCTCAAATATACATTCGTTAACTATTAACGAATGAACATTTGGTGAGACCGAATAGACCCTAACCTCCAACCAAAATCCATTCGTTAACAATAACTAATCCGTTCTATCAGTGTACCGTCTTCAAAAATTCTGTTTAACAATATCCTGTGACGCCACAAGATGGGGAACGTTATATAAAATCCTGTCTTTAGCGTTCTTTTGTCATACTGCCATGGACAGCGACAAAAATCTGCAAAAAATCCTGAGAATAAGTGAATTTTTCATCTATTTGAAGAAATTCTTCTTTTAAAATTGGTGAAAGAAGTTTCAATTTTCAGTAATTCTTTACTTAAGTCTTAACGGACTCCCTCGCATGAGTTAAATTTTAGAATCATCCTTCTGTCCATAATTATGATTTATTTTTATTAAAGAAATCAGCCTCTTCATCATTAAATTGTACAGTGCATGAGGTTTTTTCATTCGCGAAAATCAACAATCATGGGGGACAGCTCAGTTGGAGATCTGAGGGGTCTGTTACCTCTCAAATCTAGTATAATTGTACTCAAATTAAGTTCTCGCATTTTAAGAAAATCTTGATTCTGGAATTCAAAACTTTTGGGTTTTCAAAATAAAACCTTGAGGTTGAAATTTTAATGATCTCAAAATTTCATCTCTTTCGAATGATTTTGTCGATACAAAATTTCAAGGATTCTTTCATCTGAAATAAAATAATCAGTTCCTGATTCTCAGGACAATGCCATTTAGAGCCATGCATTCCTCAATAAAAGTAACTTGGTTCTGATCACTAAAAACTTTCTTTCTGGATGAACTGTCAATCGTGCAGGCCTTTTCATTCTCTTTTTTTCTGCTTCAGTTTCCATTATCTTTCTTTTCAGGGCCTTGGTTTGAGTTCAAATATTTCAAAAATTCTCTGATTCGTCATAGTACCAACACATGTAGAAATTCCATATGGATCAGTCGTTGTCATACATTTCAAGATTTTTTTTCTGAAATTCCAACGCACGCAGGAGAAAAAAATCTACAAAAAACTATGAGAAAAGTGAAGTAAAAAATTATCAAACGGTATACCCAAAAAACACGCTGAAAACACCGTAAAATTTATCCATATTCTTCGTAGTATTCCTACGAAGAACTCACAAATTTCACTGTTTGTCTGCAAAAAACTCCGTTTTAAAAGAAATAATTCTAAAATATAATTTTGCTTTTTAATTGCTCAGATTGCCCCGTAATTTTTCGTTGACAGTTTGCATCATTTCCTCAACGTAATTTTCGTCATTATTTCCGTGGTACTTTCTCTGGACGTTTCTTCTCTGCCCTTTCTGTATCCCTCCTTGTACTCTGCCCCGAATGCCGGAATATTCCACCTCCACCACATTATCCTTCCAATCTCAATTTTCCCGCTCACACCCACATATTAATACTAATCAAAAACATAAAAATTATAATAAAATTCTTCACTCCATTCTAGGTTACATCGTATCAAAAGAGCCTACTGATGCTTTCCATGTCGGATAAACTCGAAATCGGTCGATCACTCACCATAAATATAACTCCGTAATTTCGTGAAATCGCCTTGCTAACCCAGAAATGAAGGATCCGAGCTGATGCCATATGCCTTACAATATTGAGGGATAATGGCTAAATAAAAGGATAACCAGGTGGCAACAACTGATGGCTTTAATCATCCACTAAGGAGAAGATTCACCGAACGATCGCCAAGATTTCATCGTAATGGCGATGAGGGTCAATTGGCGAACGGTTTCATGCTCGTCCGGATGAAGATTATTTCTATTTTCATTAACTCCACCAGTGATTAGTGAACCTGCATTGAATCTAGCACAGAATCCCCCAGTCTGACAAACAGTGTTATTATCTACTCAATAATTCCACCACTCGATATTCAACTCTGTAGGCTCTTGACGAGCGATTGACGCACAATGTTCCCCGGAATTTCACCTCAAAATGCTGGAGAAAGAGATCCGCCCATTGAATGCACCGAGCAGACCAAAGGGGCACCGACAAAGGAAGCGCCCCAACAATTCATCGACATCGGTGACCAGAAAAGTTCCCGTCTCATGATCGAACAAGAACAAACGGAATGATTGGAGACATCAATGCCCACATACACAATCGCCGGCGTACACATGGACAATAAAAATCAACGATCGTGACGGACAATCGAATCGATGAACGAGAAATCGGAGAGATGATACTCTCCCTTCTTCAGCTCGATCAACCGTTCAATTGCCATCATACCTTCCCCACCTCCTTCATGACCAATATTTGATGGGTGCTAAAGTAGGTCTTGATGGCGTTAGCAAACACACGAGACTGATGATAATGATGATGACACTCACTGCGAAAACTAATGTCTGATTTTCTGACACTTTTGTAGACACTTTTCAAACACGTTTGAGACGATTTCGTAGACACTTTTGAGACATTAAAATGTGTCTGAATCAATGGAGGTATTTCAATTTCAGACACCAAGATGTCTGAAATTAAGATACAGACATCAGTTTCAGACACAAGCGGTGTTTGAAATTTTCAGACATCAGTTAGATTTTCAGACACTTTTAAAGATTCAGACGTTTTTTGCCATCTGCCATCTTAAATTCAGATGGTTGTCAGACACCTTTTTTGCAGTGCCGGCAGACGGAATTGCGTGCCCAAATGTATGACTTATAACCTGTCCATTCTTCCAAAAGCGAAAGATTCCCGGAAACAGGGAAATAGCGGAATTTTCTGCAATTATTGTCAAATGCAATGTCTTGGGGGAAGGGAAGGTCAAACGTGGAAAGGGCCAGGTCAATCTGCTCACCTCTCTCTCCGTCACGGCGCAGATACCAGGTCGGGTATGGATGAGATTAACCGTGAGAAGGAGGGGGAGGCAATGGTGATAGGGATGACCAGGTTGTGGATACACTTGTGTTGGTGCACTTGAACGAGGGGGGAAAAGGAGAGGCCTCACTGTGGATGGTTACAAGCTCAAAGATAGTGTGACTGCTTGGCTGAAGGAGAAGACAAGAGGGAGTTGCTGAGGAGGTGGAGAGATAGAGAGCGGTAAAAAGAAGGCAAACCACCACTGTGTGGATCCCCAAACTGTGCCGCCACTGTTGCCCCGCGTGAATCCCCTCGTCCGCATCAGTATAAAAGCAAAGCAAACGTCTTTTAGATGCAACATACAAGTTCTATACATCGTCAACCTCACGTGTTCTCCACGCATCATTCGCGCTCGTGGATAGTATTAATTGCTACTGATTAAGGAGACAGCTGAACTCCTTACAGTTTAATAATAAATTTGTGTGGTGGAAGATTTGGAAAATTTATAATACGAGAATGAAGATATTTGTGACAATCCTGTGGGCAATGCTGGTATCAGCTGCAGTTGCACTACCAGCTAGCGACAAAAGTACTGGTGAAAATGACCTCAGGGCTGATATCTACTCGGACTGTGCGAAGAAAGAGTCGGTTAGCTGTTTCAAGCACAAGGTCCTCTCCTTCATGGAGGAGATGCTGGCTGATAAGGAGGATATCACGTTGTCTGAGGGCATCACTGTGGTGAAAACATCAACTACTGAGGAAGGTGCACCAAGGTATGTCCCTTAAAAATTCTCCGAAAGTCTTTCAAGAAGTCTTGCTAAACCCAAAACCCCTCCACAAAATAATGAATGAAATCTTTGGTTCAATCAGGTCCATTGACTCCACTGACGTGGACACTCTGATCTTCGATCGTCTCGGCAGATTCCTCAGGACGCACTCCATCAAAGTCGATCTCAAGGGCACTGACATCCTAGGAGCTGTCGAATCAGCTGGCCGCAGCTTAGAGGACATCAGTGACAGTGTTGTCGAGGGCCGTGGCAAAAAGAGTTAGTATATCCTTTCTCGTCGAAACATTTACAATCGCGAACGAGTAATTTCGTCATCCTTTTCTGGTAGACTGCACCATGTCCTCAGCAATCTTTACCAGACGCTGAGGAAAGCGCACCCAATTCTCTCATTCATAAAATCATAAACCTCAGATCGAATTAGATGACTCTCACCTATTAATTATCTTACCCGGCAATTTTTCACTCGTCTTTAATAATCGCCACAAATTATCACTCGCCTCGTTTGGCTTTTTACTGCTCAGTGGGACGCTCGAGTCAACTCGCGCAATTATCCGGGAAGCCCATAAATAAGCGATGAACCGTACTACATACCGTCTTCATGTATTAAGGTGGTTGGGTGGTATTAAGGTGGTAGGTGATCAGGTGGTTGGGTATGGGTTGCCTGGTTTCCTCATTCGCGTTGATTCCGCGGCGTAAAGAAGGGGGAGGGGGGAGGGCGGAAGAAATAAGACAGCAAGTGTGGGTATCGTCATTGCGAATGGCAGCTAGATAATGATGACACCAGTTTGAGGAAGCCTGATCCCCATGCTAAGGGGCTTGGGCACTCGTCCAAGAGCCATTGACCCACTAAACAAACTGGTTTCCGTTTTCTTCCTTTTATTTTTTCCTCCTTTTATTTCATTACATTGAATCCATACACAGCAACTACCACGATCACACGTGTGGATTTACTATAAACATGATACAGCCGCCATGATTCATTGGTAGACGGTGAGAGGCCACACAAGCCTAGCGCCGGCAATATAAGGGGGGAAAGGGAGATAGATAGAGCCTGGGGGCCGAGATTTTTGACATACTTTCATCGGCAGGATCACAAGAGGTCGCATTGCCTTGACCTTTCCCTATTCCACATTTGCAAATGCCTGAATTAATGATCGTTATTAGCCTCATGGGTGCGCGGAGTTTTGTTCAAGTGGGTAATCTCCGTCAATTGGTGCTTTCTTCCCTATCCTTTGGGAATGACTCGTGCAAAAACGCATGGCGATTTGTAAAAAGTGACCCTAATGACATATTGATGATTGCAGAGAAGGCCCAGAAACTCATCGGGCCCCTGATGATGGCAATGGCCCTCAAAGCCGCAGCTCTACTTCCCCTCGCTCTCGGTGCGATAGCACTGATCGCCGGAAAGGCACTTCTAGTCGGCAAAATTGCCCTCGTCATCTCCGCCATCATTGGTCTTAAGAAGCTTCTCGGTGGACAGCAGAAGCACGTGACTTATGAAGTTGTTGCCCACCCACACCACAGCAGTAGCAGCAGTCACTCAGTCAGTCACGACGAGGGTCACGGTGGTGGTTTTGGTGGTGGAGCTGGTGGTGACTTTGGTGGTTACGGAGGTGGCGCTGGATCCAGTGGACACGGATGGGCCAGGAGCCTCCCCCAGGACGCCCAGCAGATGGCATACCGCGGACAAATTCCGTCTCAGGCTTAAGCTAGATCTCCATGACAATTGTCCACCGAATTTAATAAGAAATTTCCTCAATCTCCCTCTCTCATCCTCTTCTCTCGCTTCCTTCCTCCTCTTGTCTGTCACTTTTTATTTATCCTCGAACTCTTCCACCACTCATCTGCCTCCTTTCACTGCTCAACGAATCCTTCGAATGCCCGAATTTCCTTCTATCATTTTCCTTTCCAATCGATTCGTGCATTCACCTTGTACCTCTGAGAATACTCGTAACGTCTCTTGTAAGATGAACACCTCGTTATTTATTACGTGTTAAATGAAATAATATTTATTATGTGTACTGCTTTATCTTATTTCATGCCCGTATTTATCGACTGTCCTCCATCAACTGTTCTACATTTTGTAATAAAATGGTGAACGAACGAATGTGTCGTATCGCTCCAATGAAAATGTAAGTGAGACAATCTTCCCAGTGATAATTATCCTGTTGTTATCCTGAACCCATCGAATCCATCACCCACAATCTTTAATTTGATCATCCAAATAGGCAAGACAATCTCCTGATTATTCGACCTTAAACTATCCCGTTTGCAGCTGCGTCTGACAACTTGTATCAGTCAAGATGTAAAAATCACCTCAGAAATGCAATTGACACGGTGAACGCCGTGAACCCGAAAGGAATTTCGCTTGGGGGAGGAGGTGACCAAACGACTATTTCACCGGATGTATTTGCCAGCTGTATAATGAAGATCGAAGAATGTGTAGGTAGCATCTAGTGTTACTTTGAACACCTGAATGATTAAAATTCGATGTATCGTAAGCACAACCTGATTTCCCCTGTGTACCTGCGGATCTCGCGAGATAATGTCGTTTACCGTTATGCAACGCAGCACAATTTTGTAGCGGTTCCCGAGGCTTTTTCGGGGAGTGCGAGAGCCACATGGGTCCCACGGTATTCCGTACAGTTTGTTGGAGTATTTGCGCGAAAAGTTGCTGACAATGGGGGGCTTTGATGGGCAATTAGTTGTTTGTTTCAAAAATTTTTTTAACTCCTCGTTTCTCTCTTGGAATGAAGGTGTTGTCTGCTGTGTTCATGGTGAATTAAGTCCATTGGGCAAATGAACAATTCATTCACCGGCGCATTCAATGGTTTATAACGCTAATGGTTTATCTGAGCATTCACCTGGATAGTCGTATTGTTGATGGGCATATGCGAAAGGACGGGATAGGCCGTAAAATTATTGAGGAAAAAAGATCGGAAAAAGAGCGCGTGTCAGGGCACGTCTGTTCCGCACTGTGGGACGTCTCCCATATGTATACAACACGAGTCTCAGTGGCACACTTTTTCTCGAATCTCATCGATATCTCCTCACTCGATTATTACTCATTTTGTACTTCACTCCGTCATCTGGCGATTGTTGGCTTGGGAAGAAGAGGTTAAATCAATTGTGCAGACGGGAATTGTTTATCATGACAAGTGAAAATCTAACATCTGCGGAAGAAAGTTGAATGGTGATGTTATGTGGAGAATATAGCCGCGTTTAGCTTTAGCACCGGTGGAGGGACAAAAAATTTTGTGGAGATAAATCGATCATTTGGTCATGATGCCTGGTGGATATTCCATTCAGACCTTAATCCTGAAAAAATGTGTGAAGGAAAAAATTCCGAGAATATGCGGGAAGTGCGCCTGGAGCATTCGATTCACATGGTTGATCTGCTGGAGACGATTTTTATCGGTTGAGAAAAGAAAGAAAAGGGAAAAAAGAGCCAAAGAAATGAGGTAAAAAACGGGACGCCGGTGGAATTGAATATTCGTGAAATTTGTGAAACGGAAATCAGGGGCGACCTCAATGAAGATTCATCCGAATCCAATTTTTTCGTTTCGAGAATTTTAATATTACAAGTTGAATGATTAAAAACGGGACAATTTTCAGTGATGACCCATGAATTACACAGCACACTGATAAAAAAGGAAAATGGGAATTTCATGGACGGTTGAGGAGCAATTTTTACAAATGTGACTTTGACTTCGATTTAGGGGGGGAGGGCATCGTGAAATTTCGGATTTTTAAGCAGCAGGGATTTTCCAATTAGCTTGAATTATCAATGAAAAAATAATATTCAGTCCTAAATTACACTAAATTTTCAATCAGGTTACAATTCAAGAATTTTTTTATTTGAATTGAAAATAACTGTTTCCACCGATTTTTACATACAAATTTTGAATTTACAAGGACAAAATTCCTTGAAATTTCATTATACCTGAAATGCGCTAAAAAACTCCAAGAAAGATACTAGAATTTTTAGTTTTAATTTCAATTCTATTTTACCCTCCGACAAAATCATGAAGTTTCGGATTTCAAAGAAAATTCTATAAAATTCCACATTTTAGAGCAGAAGCAAGTCAAGAATTCTCCAACTTACTTAAATTTTCAATTAAAACTGAAAGTCAGTTTAGAATGTAGAAAACTTAAAGTCATTAGTTTAGAATTCAATGATTGTTTGATTTACCTAAATTTTTCCGATTTCCATTGATTTTTGCATAATAAATATGTTGAATATGAAACTCAATGGAATTCAACGAGGAAATTCCAGCGAAATTGAAATGCGATAAAAATTCCCCACCAATGTCCTAGAAATTCAATCCTCAAATTTTCAACAGTGCATCAAAAGCAGTCTGAGATTTACGATCAAAAGCCTGCGTCAGAAAACGCGTAATTTTTAATTCTCTTCGCTCTGATATCTCCCGCAAAACAATCCCCGTGAATCACCACCAGAATTACATGAAAATTCACCTCGAAACGATGACTCCACAGCGATAAAAAATAACGCTCCGAGCCGGAAACGTCTAACACTAACCCAAAAAACAAATCGCCAATCTCAAAACTCGCGCATCTCGTACCCGGAATATCTCCTCGCTTTCGCCCGATACTCGGTACAAGATCATTTTCACAAGAGCACGTACGGGAAATCGGTGAGTCCGCGAGGGAGTGCATATGCCATGCGTGCGAGTTCCGGCAGCGTTTTTTTATTTCTCAATTCCCTCCATAAAAAATCCTGAAGACCCCGTATTACGCGTAACCCATTGCCTCCCCGCCGCCACAAAAGAGAGTTTTTCCCGCTAAAAAAAATACCATGAGGAACGAAAAAATTATACACGCTGCATACAAATGATGATAAAACGCCACAAAGGGGTGGGAGGGAAAACTTCTACGCTGCTGTGCTAATCTACTATTTTCGAATCCCCCTTTCCCCCGTAACGAAACCCGGTATACAACTACGGTATCCATGTACATAGCCAGGGTTTTCACTTGGTGTGACCCAGTTAATATGCCACAGAGATCCGTAGGCGAGCCCACAGTACCATGAAAACCCATTGGCAAAAGGAAGCAAGGCCGTGAAAGAGAAGCTATTTGCTAATTTTTTAAACCCCCCTTCTTCCCCCCAATGCCAGAGCATAATTAAAAAACATTAACGATATCCAAGTATTTTTTACAGGTTGATACAGACCCCACCATAGATTCATCTATTTTCAATCATCAAATTTGTCAATTAAATTGCGTAAGGAAAATTCAAAAAGAAAAAATTCATAAATTTTCAGGGTCCGTCAAATTACATTTTGCAGAGAATTATGATTTTTTAAAACATTTGGGGTTTATAAATAAATAATGGAAGTTCTTTAAAGTTTCGGAAACCCAATTTTTTTAGGCATGAATAAATTTTGTAACGATTCCGAATAAATGCGTAGCGAAGTGGTAAAATAGTTCAAGTTGATTATGATTATTAATCACTTTTCAATAAATATCTCCGAATCTGAGGCCAATAGCAAAATTTGTGTTATAACATTTTTAGTAGAGCGAACTAAGAGCTGCAAAAATGGTTATTATGAAAATTTCGCCATCTCTCTTAGATTCGAAGATATTCTTCGAAAACTCAAAGAAAAGAGCTAAGTTGACTTAAACCGTTCTACAGTTTCGCTATCGAAATGATTTTTATGGTGGAAAATTGATTCACCCGTGGAAAAATAGAGATGTGGAAAATATATGAGTATATATACTCCATATAATCCATACATAGCGTACATGAGGGAATATATGCCAAAATATAGGACATTCATATGGATATGTGTTTGTAGGGGAGGGTGGGGCAAAACGGCCCCCCTTCAATTGTCAATAACTTGTGAATGACATTGTGAAAATTCCCAGTTTCAACTACATTTTGAAGATAATTTTTCATTCTTCAAAACGAGCTCTAACTCATCCCAATCGGATTATTGAATCGGAAAATATTGACGATTGAAAGGGGGCCGTTTTGCCCCATCCTCCCCTATATTAATTATAAACGAAAGATGATATACGATTTAATATAGGGCAAGTACATCACTCATCATCCAATACATATTTTCCCATACATTCGCCTCTATATAGGGCTGTATGCATGAAACATAACAATATATATAATGAGTACATGGGTCATATATTCAACGTAGATTTTCTCATATTTTATTCACCCTCATGTATCTAAAAATATATGACATATAGGATACATATGAGTCATATATGTCAATTCTTTTTTAGTCATATATTTTTTTCCATTGGTGTTGCTTTAAAATTAATTATAAAAAACGCTCGTAATTTAAAAAAAATTGCAATTTTTAACCCATTTCATCACTCGTCTTCCAAAAGTAAAGTTTGTAATTTTCTTCAGATTTTTAAAATGTTTTCCTACGGTTCAATATCAAAATTCAAATTCAGACCTGCAAAGTTTAAATAACAAAATCATTGTAAAATATCCCGAGACTTGGGGTCAAATGGGGCTCAAATGAAAGCTCTGACGTTCGGCTACAAAAGTAGAAAATCATTTCACTGGAGAAAAAACCGCCAAAGTACCTGGATATCCTCAACAGGATTGATCCACCGACTCTCAAAACAACCCGAGGAATTCCGCTAGGCCGCCTAAACCAGATCTATAAAATACTAATAAACTAGAATTCACAACCAGCGAAATGTTCATTATCCCCTGCCCTTTGGTTCTAGAAAGCCATCGTAAACCACGCGCGATTCCCCTGAAATTGACTCCTTTCTCCATTCACACCTCTCCCATAAACCAAAAATATGTTCTCTCGCGCGCTGTAGAAGAATGTTCGAAAAGGTCATGCAGTGCGTCAGGATGAATCTGCAGAAATGATGGAAAAAAGGCAATTATAAGATGTGGGGTAAATGAGCAGATGGGAGGAGTCAGCAGTTTCGATAGAGCTCTCAGGTGCATCACAGTCTCTGTAATCGGATTGGACTGTGTTCACTATCCCCCCTGGATACCAGGATCACATCCAGCGGGCTGTTAAACCAATAGAGGGGAGATTAATAGGAAAATTGGGTGAACTAGAAGTTTCGATGTACAAGGTGATACAACTCCGCGTATTAGTTTTCCCCCACATTGGTGTGAACAAGATGGAATAAACGTATCGTCTCACCTCGCACCGGTGGTAGTTTGTCGTTTACAAGTCGTTTAAAAACAACACGCTACACATTGGCTATGATGCTGGTATGAAAATAGTTGGGGGGCGCACCAAGGTAACAAAGTGGGAGGGGGCAATATCCCCGAGTACGGCGTCTTGCTCTGTGGTACACCTGACCAGATATATAGAGCTAGGGCAGGGCTTCCGTTACGTACAGTCCACGTAGAGTGTTCTCGAGGGTAACGCATCTTGGCTAATATTTCTCTTAAAGTATTGAAATTACGGGCATTTTACATTAAACGAGTTATCCGTGGAAAATATTCAATTAACTGCATTCATCTTATTTTCATACATCATCACTGAAGATTGATGAGTCGATACGAGAGTATCGAGTCGTGCTGTGATCTCATTTTGGATTTGACGTTTTTATTTGTTATTTTCCATTTGTCGGATTTGAATTGTTGATTTGTGATTGATAGAGATCATCGTATCTGGAAAATCTAATGACCCACTTGGAATGGTCAATGATATTTCATGAATTTCTTGGCGACTGACCTAGTCGCCATTTGGCACTGGCATATCGTGATTACAATCCGGTTTTACACTACGAATAGTTTAATAACGGTTTAGATGTCCTCATCGCGTTAATATCATACCTCTCGTTTCTCGTTAAATTCTGTAATTTTTTACAGTGTGAATTGACTGTAATTTATGGTTCTGTTTGACGTAAGTTTAATAACAGTTATTTTGTTGATTCAACAGGGAATTAAAGGAAAGAAGATGATATTCGCCCACCGTTACGGTTTCATCGCTCTGCTGTTGGCTGGGGTGGCCTCGGCAAGGTCAACCGAGACAAAGGCCAACGCTATTGATGAGCAGAGTGGTAGATCCTCGAATGGCATATTCGGAGAGTTGCGGTATGTTTATCAAATGTACAAGGATTGCTCGGGTGCTGAGCTGAGCTCATGCCTCAAGTTGCGACTTTTGACGGCTATGGATCGGGTCTCGAGGAGCGCACAGTTGAATATTGCGGAGGGCGTCACTGTTGTCAAGGATGAGAACACTCAGGAGAAGGAGGCAACACCAAAGACACCGCAGGAGATCGAGGCCAATTTGCCGAGGTCCCTTGAGGACAAGGAGGATGCTCTCAATACTATGATATTCGACAAGTTCCTCAGATTCTTTCAGAGTCACACGTTGAAACTCAAACTACCGAATGTCGAGGAGTTGTCTAGGAGTCTCACGGAGGAAGGTGAGTCTGCATCGCAGAACAAAAAAAATGCTATTCGAACATCTGTGGTGAATTGGTAAACTAGGATAACCGCATTTGTTAGAAAATAATTTGCGGAAACGATTTAGCAAAATAATTTTTTTTTTGAAAAAAATGCACTTATTCTAGTCTTTGGGGGAAACCGACGTGAAATCTCAACGTCGACTTTTGATGTGTAATGGCACACGTTAAAAAGTGGAACAAATGATGACGACAATTGATTTTGTACCGTGAATAAAAAATGGTTTTTATTTTTGCCTCAAAAATAGTCCGAGGGCCTGAGTTTTCATCAGACTGACAATTTTCCTTTTTCAAAATGTTTGTTAGACTCCAGACAATAAAGGCATCCGTTCTGCGATCCGTTGAATAAATTATGGAAAAATTGAAGAAATCAATCTGTCAATTGTTCTTTTTTTTTCAATTTTTCCATGATCTATCCAATGCGTCGCAAATTGAATGCATATCTCTGGCGTCTAATGAACATTCTGGGAACAAAATTGTTTATCGGATAAAAATCAGGCACTTAGACGATTTTCAAGGAAAAATGAAAAACGTTTTTTGGTGATTCACGGGGAAAAATCGATTGCAGTCATCATTTTTCATACTTTTTAACATATGTCAATATGTATGAAAATTTGGGCTAACGAAAACATTCAAATTTTACCGCGGTCTTCCTTTAAAATATGATTTTCAACAGTCTTAATTTGAAGATTTAAAGTTTCAAGTTGAGAGTTTTAATTGAGACTTAGATATCTCGATTTAAGCTTTCTGACCGTCTCTAGTTGAGACTTCGGAAGGCCTTAATTTGAGACTCCTGAAGGTTTTGATTGACGACTGGAAGTTTTCAATTTGTGATTTTCATAGACTCAAATTGAGACTTTTGAATGTCTAAATTTGAAACATTTCAAAATTTCAATTTGACATATTTGAAAATGTCAATTTGTGACTTTCAAGTCTCAACACAACATCATAAATCTCATAATAAACCTCTTTCTCAGGACATACAATTTCACCCCTAAAAAATCGCCTCAATCTCACGAATTATTCCATTTCATTTTCTTATTCAGCCCGAGGTAAGAAGAAGAAGGGCATGGGCGGTCTCCTGGCGATTCCGCTGCTGATCGGTGGTACCTTAGTGCCTCTCGCCCTCGGCGCCCTGGCCCTTCTCGCTGGAAAGGCCCTAATCGTCTCGAAACTCGCCCTGGTTCTCGCCTCCATCATTGGCCTCAAGAAACTCGTCTCCAGCCACGACCACGGACACGAGGTCGTCCAAGTCGGTGGACACGGGGGCAGTGGGTGGGCGAGGGCTGGTCAGGAGCTCGCCTACTCAGCTTACAAACCAGTTAATGCCTCGTAAACTTGGGCGCCAATGTCCAGAGCAAGAGCGTTAATCAACCCCCTCATTCTTTCACTTATTTAAAATCTCTCCCTCCACCCATCCCCATCATTGATCCTCTAACATGGATGGGAATGACTCTCCTCCATGTCGCTGCACTGTGATTCATGTATCTTCAGTTGTTTCTCTCGAGAATTTAGACTCGAATTTTCCTTGTTCATCGTTACTAATGGCACTGAGCACTCCTCGTTTCCTATTTATTATTTCATGTCTCCTCACTCACATCATTCTCCATTCCCTCCTTTCTCTTCTCTTCTTCTTACTCTCCTCTCTCCTTTACCTCATCATCTGCACAAATCGTTATCATCCCACAGTATTTATTTGTACCACAAATGTAATATTGTAAGTCGAATCAGGTCAACGTAAATCACGAGAAAAATGTATATTTATAGAAACGAAATTTTTTAAATCAAGAAGAAAAAAAACAAGACAAGAATGAGACTAATAAATGATAAGACGAATTACTGTGTGCATTCTACCAAATTTATTCAACGCTCAGTCCCTCTATGTCCATTCATCCACGAAGTACCTAGATAGAGGAAAAATCTGGCGGGAAGTCGCCCCGTGAAGGAGACGAACGAAGAAAATTAATCGACCGAAGAAAACCCAAATCTAGGGAATTGCGGGGCACGAGATTTTGATTAAAGTGGGTAGTGAATAATTGGAGCCTGACTGACGCCTGCGTGACTGTCTGTATTCAAGTGTTAATCCAAGTCGAAAGTATCAGGACTATCTAGGAGATGATGACGCAGTTCTAATACCAAAAATTAATACGCCATTTCACCGGCACGAAGAGGTTCCCCTCATTTTCATTATTTATTTTTATTTTCCCCTCGACTCAAGGCTGAGATGCAGGCCACGGGAGCACTCGTCGACGTTACGTCCGGCAGTTTTACCTACATAAAAGTAAACGATCACGGAACAAGTACGATATAAAATGTACGTACGTCTGAAACCCAGCTCACGCACCTTACGCGTTCATTTCACCTATCTTCGTCTCTCGTTCCATGTGAAAATACATCGGCGAATGTTGATGAAGAAAGGGGAAAAAGAGAGGGGAAAAAATTTACTTGGTGTGTGTATCGGTACGAATGAGCGGGGAGTAAGACGTTGCTGTGAGGTGCGTGTGACACGGCAATGGCCCACGTAGGTGGAAGTAAACCAGGCCGTTTACAGGCCAGCATCCGTGCGCCTGATGCTGGGAGGATTCGATTCTCGAGCCGGCGTCGTTCGACGGTGATCGTGGGGTTTCTAGGCGGCTCAACCGTCGATTTTCCATGAGGGGACTCACACTCTCTACTGATTCGGAGGGAATAAAAAAATTGAATATTTTTGGTCGAGTTGATGCCAATAATTTGTGGGAATATTCTACACTGTTGAAAATTTTTGTTTGAAATTTCCGGTACGCTTTTTGGATATTTTTATCGAATTGAATTACTACTGAAATTTCAAGGAATTTCGTCATTGAAAATTTAGAATTTGGTGGAAAAATCAAAGGAAACTGTGAATTTCAGTTCCATTTTTCCTTGAAAATAAATAGAAAACCAGAAAATTCCGGTAAATTTATTATGGAATTTTCAGAACTGTGACACTGCATGCGATTTAAGGGGAAAAATTATGAAATTTCAGATTGCACTGAAAATTCTATGTATTTTGGAATCGAATATTCATAATTAATTTTTAACGAAATTTATTGCAAGAAAAATACACAAAAAAAAATTCTTACAATAGACCATCGCCCGAGGGCCGTCAGCCAAGTATTTACATATGGGCATCAATTTTTCGTTCTATTTTTGATAGTGTATATACAGTCGAGTACTAAAGTTCGTGAACAGCCTGAACTTGCATTCTATGTATT